AGGTAATGAAAGGAATCCTATGAAAGAAATTTATAGTAGTAAATTCCCACATCAGAAAAATAGAGCAAGGTCAAATAAATAACCTAATGTTGAACCTTAAGGTTCTAGAAAAATAGGAGCAAGCAAAACCCAAAGCAGAGATGAGGTAGGAAATTGTAAAGATTAGGGATAAATTAATGTAATTGAGACTAAGAAAACAATACAAAGAATTAATGAATCAAAAAGTTGGTTCTGTGTAAGATTAAATACAGAAACACATAGCCAATCTTATAAAAAAAAAAAAAAAAAGGAAAGAAGAGACCCAAATCCATGCAATTAGGAATGAAAAGGGCAAAATCACAATGGATCCTCCAGAAATCCAGAATATTGGCAAAACCTACTTAGAGAACTTCCACTCTATTAAGACAGAAAAGTGAGAAGAAATGGACAGATTCCTAGATACATATGAATTACCAAAGTTGAATCAAGAAAATATAAAATTTCTAAATAACCCAATATCAGTCAATAAAATTGAAGTAGTAATTTTAAAACTACCAACAAGAAAAGCCTAGGTCCTAACAGTTTCACTGCTGAATTCTATAAAAAATTTAGAGAAGATTTAATCCCATTATTCCTCAAACTCTTTAATGAAATTGAAGAGAAAGCAAATTCTTTCCTGGAAGAATGAATTACCCTGATACCAAAACCAGAGAAGGATCCAAATAAAAAACAGAACTATAGGCCAGTCTCCCTAATGAACACAGATGCAAAAATCATCAATAAGATACTGGAAACAAAATGCAGCAAATCATCAAGAAGATTATACAACATGACCAAGTATGATTAATTCCAAGGATGCAGGGATGGTTCAACAAGTGCAAATATATAAATGTAATACACTACATTAACAGAACCAAGGATAAAAACCAGAACATCATCTCAATGGATGAAGAAAAAGCATTTTACAAAGTCCAACACACATTCATTATAAAAATCCCTACAGAAAAGTGGAATAGAAAGTCTATCTCAATCTGATAAAAGTCGTCTATGACACAAAACAGCTAATATCATACGAAATGGAGAAAAACTGGAAACTTTCACTCTAAAATCAGAACAAGTCCAGGACACCCACTATCATCAGTCCTATTCAATATAGTTCCTGAAACAGAGCAATTATACGATAGAAAGGAAAAAAAAGGAATAAAGATAGGAAAGGAAGAAGTTAAATTGTCATTATTTGCAGATAACATGATACTCTATATAGAAGACCCCAAGAACTCCACCAAAAGTCTTCTAGACTTAATAACCAAATTCAGTAGTGTAGCTGGATACAAACTTAACACGCAAATATCAATAGCACTCCTGTATACAAATAACAAACTCACTGAGAAAAAACTAGGGAAACAACACCTTTCAAAATAGCATCGAAAAAAATTGAAATATTCAGGAATCAATCTAACAAAGGAAGTAAATGACTTTTACATTGAAAATTACAGTACTCTGAAAAAAAGAGATCAAAGAGGATATCAAAAATGGAAAGATATCCTTTGCTCTTGTGTAGGAAGAACCAACATAGTGAAAATGGCCATACTCCTAAAATTGTTATACAGATTTAATGCAATCCCAATCGAAATTCCATTAGCACACCTCACAGAACTAGACAAAACATTCCTAAAATTCATTTGGAATCAGAAGAGACCTAGAAAAGCAAAAACAATTCTGGGCAAAAAACTGAGGATCAACAGAACAGACTAGAAAATGTAGAAACAAACCTCAAAACACTCAGCCACCTTATCTTTGACAAAGGGGCCAAATACATTCACTGGAAGAAAGCCTCTTTAATAAGTGGTGCTGGAAAAACTGGCTTTCTACATGACAAAGACTAAAACTATACCCATGTCTCTCACCATGCACTAAACTAAAATCAAAATGGATCAGAAATCTAAATATTAAAACAGAAATACTAATTATGCTGGAAGAGAGAATAGGTAGAACTCTTGAGGACATAGGGGTAGCCAAAGACTTCATGAACAAAACCTGGACTACACGGAAATAGTTCAAAGAACCAACAACTGGGATCTCATCCTATTAAAAAGCTTTTGCACAGCAAAATAAATCACCAACAGGGTGAAGAGACAAACCACAGAGTTAGAAGAAATTTTAGCAAGTTGTTCCTCAAAGGACTAATATGTGGAGCATAGATGCCAGGGATTTAGCTCAGTGGTTCCGGTGCCTGCCTCACAAGTGCAAGGTCCCGAGTCAATTCCTGGTACCAAAAAAAAAAAAAATTGCTAGAACATACAAAGAACTGAAAAAAAATCAGACCCCCCCAAATTTAGTGACTCAATCCAAAAATAGGCATCTAAATGAAAAGACACTTCTCAGATGAAGAAATACAAACAGCAAATAAACATGAAAAAATGTTCAACATCACTGGCCATCTGAGAGATGCAAATTAAAACAACGCTGAGATTCCATCTCACTCCAGAAAGAATGGCTAATATTGACAAATCAACCAACAACAAATTTGGGTGGGGCTGAGAGGAAACAGGAACCTTTTTCCACTGTTGGTGGGAGTGCAGACTGGTGCAACCACTGTGGAAATCAGTGTGGAGCTTCCTCAAAGAAGTAGGATTAGAGGTGCCATTTGACCCAGCTATTCCCCTTTTGAGTATCTTCCTGAAAGAATTAAAAGCATCGTACCACAATGATATATGAGCACCCATATTTATAGTGACACAGTTTGTAATAGCTAAATCTTGGAAACACCTCCAATGCCCATCAACTGATGAATAGATAAAAAAGATTATTTTTATACAATGGAGTACTACTCTGCCATAAAGAAGGATGAGGTTGAGACATTTATAGCTAAATGGATGCACCTTGAGACCATACTCTTATTTATTTATTTATTGGTACCGGGGATCGAATTCGGGTCCTTGCGCTTGTGCAGCAGGCGGTGAAACCACTGAGCTAAATCTCCGGCCCGAGACCATACTCTTAAGTGAAATAAATCCAACACATATGTATAAATATCGCACTGTCTCTGTGGTGTGAGACACTGAAAGGGTGAATAAGGACCAAAATGTATAATAGATAATGTGAAATAAGAAGAAATGGTTCAAAAGGAAAGGGGAACTAGGGAAGGGGGAGGAAAAAAAGGAAGGAAAAAAGAAACGAGAAGAGAAGGAAAAATGGAAACAAAGCTCCTGTAAAGAAGGGGAAAAGGGGTTGAAGTGAGAGGAGGAATTGGGGAAAAAAAGAGGAATCAAGATATATCATATACAGGTACAAACTCCTTATGATTAATGTGATCATTATGTATATCCAAATTGTACCAATAAAGTTAATAAAATTAAAAAAATAAAACTGAATGGGATTACAATTCTCAATTGCAGTTCTTATCATCCAATCAAATTTAAACTGTCTACATTATTACAGCTAATAGTGTACAGATCTGGAAGGTGAGGTACAAACAGAGAAATAAAAGTTGTGAATATCACCAATACCAATGAACAAACAAAAAATGAAAGCAAAGAGCTAGATCAAAAACCAAGGGTCAAGTGTCCAAAGGTCTGGTTACTCTTGTTATCTGTTAATTATATTTTTCTACATCTCTGCATGTATTGGTTATGTACCTGTGTGGAAGAAAGAATTCAGCGGTGAAATAATTCATCCATCTCACTTTATAGATGGGAAAAGTCAAGTCCAGAGGGGCAAAGGACTTGTCAAATGTCCCCCCAGTAATTCATTTTGGTAGATTTAGCAGATTTCTGACTTTCAGGTTGTAGCTCTTTTAAAAAGGCAGCCTAGTAAGTCCCTCTTTTCTTCAAGACATTAGTTTTAAAAACTCAGAATTGCTGTCACTTCCTAAAAATAAAAATTATTGGGTCTCTTTTCAGATTTGCCGAATCAGAATGTCAAAGGTGGACCATGAAAATTTGTATTTTAAGAAGCTCTACAGTTGCTCTGATACACACTGAGGTTTGAAAAGTACTGCCCTAGACACTCTTTCCTTCAGATCTTTATTTCCAAGTATTTAAAAGAAACAAAATAATAGTGGATCTGAAATGTTCTCAGAATCTGCATGGTAAAGCGTACACTGTAGGACCCAACCAATAACCATAAGAAACTTTAGTCGTCAAGTACACTTGTGAAGCTGCTGCTTGTACGGGACAGACACTTTAGCAGCCTGCTAGGCGTTTTTAGTTCCTCCTTTGATAACACACGTCATCTTGAAGATGCAGTTACGGAAGTATAATTTCTCTGCCAACTCACAAAATCTGAAAACATGGGCTTTAGGTGTGTAACACACTCCAAGCTTCTCCTGGCTCTACCAATCACCCAAGGAGCCCAAGGCAGACGCTCCCCCTTCCCCTCAGCCCCGGCAACCAGGCACCTCTGCCCAGACTAGCTGCCAGGCTAAGTGTAGGAATACAGGCAGCAGTGGTGGACACAAAGAGTTAAGTATTAGCGTGCTGAAAAGTGGCAGGGAGAGCGGCCAATAGGGTGTGTACGCAAGCAGTACGTCCGGTGTGGGCGGGCGTGGGACAAAGCTGACAGGAGGGAACCGTAAGCGGCCTAAGGGTGAGAGGGCAGCCTGGGTTACGGATTTGGAGTAAGAGCAAGGGGGTGGGGGGACGGGGACCGGGGCGGGGCGGCTGGGAAAGCACGCGCGCGTCAGCCCTTAATCGCCGTTCTCCCTTATTCTTAGGGTTTGGTAACAAGCGGACAGCCCAGAGTCTGGTGTATGGCCACAGAATTACAGCATCCAGACTCCATGCCCTGTCACAACCAGCAAGTAAATTCTGCCTCAACCCCGAGTCCCGAACTGCTGCAACCTGGAGACCTGATCCCAGATCAAACTGGGGGAAGTAGCGCTGCTGAGGCTAAACTGACTCTCCTCACTGGGCACGCCCATTCTAGCGCGACGGCTGAGTGGGATTCTCAGGCCTGCGGCACCACCAGCCTTAACTCCGAGAGCCCAGGCGACACTGGTAACAATAGCAACTATGACGCACCTGCTGGCGACTCCCTTTCAGGGGACTGCGAACTCTCCAGACAGATAGCGTCGCAGCTGAAACTTCTGCCAATGAATGATCAGATCCGGGAACTGCAGACCATCATCCGGGACAAGTAAGTCAAGAACGGAAGGGGAAAGGGAGGCGGAACTGACGAGGGCCTGCATGGGATGGGCGGGGATTGGAAATAAAAAACCCAAGGAATAGTGTTCTTGCCCTTGAGGAAATGGTCTTTGGAGAGATTAGGGCAGGGCCTGTTCTTTGGGGAATATGTTCCAGGGGAACTCATGTGACACACTTCCCTTTCGTAGTTCCCAGTTCACTTTAACTAGGTATGAATCCTTTTAGGTAGCCCTGGTCTCTCCTGGCCTCTTTGTCTCTGTGAGCAATGATGAATCCTCAGACATTCCTAGCAGATAAACGCCCCTGTGCTCTCTGTCCAGTGCCTAAGTGGTAAATTTGTACTCCAAAATGGTTACTACCTATGGTTTTGCATTACCACCAAACATCACAGGTTCACAGATTAAAATAAAGCAATTTCAAGGAAATTCTATTGTACTGCACTGAGCCTCTGATCCTTCAGTATTTGCTACTTCAAAAATGTCATTTTGTTTAGATGTAGAATTTCAGGTTTACCTGATCACTTGAAAGCATACCATCCAATTCTTAGTGATTGTTTTACTGTAAATTTACAAAACATAGATAAGAGAACCAAAGGAACCTTTCACCCCTGCTCATCTCACAAACCTTTGTAGCCTTCATGTTAAAATGCTATTTTGAAATTGCTTTGAGAAAATCCATGTAAAACATGGGAAGTATGTACCATAATAAACTACAGCTCGTTTCTTTATTGGTCGCACTTTACCTCCTTGTTGAGAAAGGGTCTTGCTGTGTTGTCCAGGCCATCCTCAAACTCCTGAGGTCAAGTGCCATTCCCATCAGATTCCCAAGTAGCTGGGACTACATGTGTGCACCACTGCACCACACTCCTAGTGGCGGCATTTTAAATGAGTAGCTACAGCATGTCAGAACACCACCTATTTTCAGTGGTGAGGCATACCTTGATAAAGATAGGTACTGTATGACAGATGCCACTCCCTAAATCAGACTCTAGTAATTTTTATTCATACTGTTGTAATAGGCTCCTAATTTTCTTATCTGCAGTTTTTCTTTCTCACAGCAGCCTTTTTTGACTTCTCAGAGGCTACCAAATAGTCTTGAATCCTTAGCTTGATATTTAGGCCCCTCCTCATGGTTCCTAGGAACTATTCTGAAACATTCTTGCTTCTTTTCTTATCTAGAATTCCCTATATCGTCTTTGTTCATGTTCAGCTCCTATTTTTGAAGGTTAAATGCAACTTTGCCAAGAGGCTTTCTTTTAATCATTCCTGGCTGATCTTCAGTGACTTTTTTTGTTTTTTGAGGCAGGGTCTCCCTTTGTACTTCAGGCTGACCCTGAACTCACTATGTACCCCAGGCTGGCTTCTAACTTGTGGAGATCCTCCTGCCTCAGCCTCCCAAGTGCTGGGATTTCAGGCATGTGTGTGCCACCACACGCAGCTTTCAGTGACCTTTTTAATGCAAAATTTACCTTCTATTTTGTATATTGCTACTTGTGTGTTGATCTTATCTTGCCTGTTAGATTTTAGGCTCTTTGAAAGGCAGACTCTTCTGCATCTTTGAATTCCAACCCTGCCTTACAGGTAATAGATACTCAATTACTAAAGATTCTTTCTAGCTCTTTATATTTTAAGTATAAATCTATACTATCTGTTTATAATGAATACGTATGGAAAACTGATCATATGATGTAATAAATAGATGAAGTAGTAATTTTTAGAAGTATAAGCATAGGTTTGGTTGGTAGTGGTGGTGTGAGCAGCTGAAAACAAACATTTGTGAAACAAAATAGGATGATGATTCTTGTTTCTGTAGAGCAAAAGTTAACTAACCTTGGATCTTGGACTCCACTGCACCTGTAGATGAGTTTCAGGTCCTTAGTGAACCCTCAGAAGTTTCATGCAAAATTTTATCTGTATGTGTATTTTCAGTGGTTTAATATCTTAAGGTAGGCATGGTGATTCATGACTATTGATAGGTCTCCCACTACCTCAGCAGCTATTATGTATAGTAGCTGCCCTCTTCCTATGGTGCCTTGCCCCCTCCCCTGTGTGATGTCATGCCAAGATGGTTGCTCCCACCAAAGAACAAACCCTTCTTCCCAGCATGCCCCTGGTCCCACCTAGAGAGTAACCTAATACTCGCTCACCTCCTACCACCTAGTGATGTCACTGGCTCCTCCACTCCCTGATCACTACCTCACTCATCCCCCCCTACAAACCCCACCCCAGTCTCTATAAAAGACTCTCCCTGCCCCGGCCATATTGCTTTTGTCTCTCCTTTGTTCAGAGACAGCCCGGCAGATCTATTCCCCTAATAAAGGCTTGCTGTGGCCTGGTCTGATCTTGGTCTTTGGCCCTTTTACCTGACAAGTATAATCCCAGAACTCTTCGAGGCTGAGGCAGGAGGTTCAGGAGTTCTATCCCAAAAGGGGCAACTTAGCAACTTGGGAGACCTTGTAGCTCAATGGAAGGGCCCCGTGTTCAATTTCTAGTACTACAAAACAAAAATCTTCATTGAGATATTCATATACCATAGAATTCAGGTATTAGTGCACACTGGCTGTGTACCATCACGTACCATAGTCAGTTTCAAAACATTTTCATTACCCCAATAAGAAATCTCCTGCCCATTAGCATTCATGCCTCATTTCCCTTCAACCTCCCCAAAACCCTGGACAATAACGCGTCTACTTTCTGTCTCTATTAATTCGCCTATTTGGACATTTCTCTTTTAAAATTTATTTTTTAAATTAAACATGAAAATATTTATTTTATTTTTTCCAGTTTTAATTTTTTATCAGTAAATGTTTACATCACATAATGGTTACATTCCTTGTTGGAAGCTAATACATGTACGTAATACATTTCAATTCTTTTTTCATCACCTTTCCCTTCCTTCCTCCTCTATCTCTTGATCTCCTTCCCATTTGAAAAAGATCTATCTCCCTACTTTTTATTATCTGTCTTGTATTTTGATCTTTATTTATGTTTTGGATTTCTTTTTTTTTGGGTACTGGGGATTGAACTGGGCACCTTGTGCTTGTGAAGCAGGCGGCAGAACCACTGAGCTAAATCCCTGGCTTGGATTTCCTATATAAGAGAAATTACATGATATTTAAGCTTGTGTGTCTGATTTATTTTACTTACCATTATGTTCTCAAAGTGCCTCCATTTTCCTACAAATGACTCAAGTGTATTCTAACTCAATTGTGTATAAATACCACATTTTCTTTCTCCATCTATCTGTTGATGGACATATAGGCTGCTTTAAATTTATTTTTAACAGATACATAAAGCATAAAATTGCACATATTAATACCATGTAATGTTCAATACACATATATATATCACATAATGTTTAAATCAGGCTAATCATATTTATCTCTTCAAACATTGATCATTTCTTTGTGATGAAAACTTTCAAAATCCTTTCTTCTAGCTTTTTGAAACATACAGTATATTGTTGTTATCTATAATTACCCTCCAGTGCAATGGCGTATTCAGAACTTCTCACTCATATTTAACTATAACTTATTATCCATAGCTCAGCCCCAATTCTTCCCTCCCTGCTACTCTTTCCAGCCTCTACTAACCACTATTCTACATTCAATTTCTATGAGATCAACTTTTTTAGAGTCCACTTGAGTAAAGTATGTGATATTTGTTATTCTGAATGTTTTATATAAAAGGAATAATAAAATATATGATCATTTTGTGACTACTTTTTTTAGAGTAATGTTTTCAGGGTTTACCCATGTTTTATCACTATATCATTCCTTTTTATGGCTTAATAATATTATACTGTGTAGAAATACTGCAATGTGTTTATCCATTTAATAGTGGATGTTTGGGTGGTTTCCACTCTTTGGCTACTATGAATAATGCTGCTATGGACATTTGCTTATGTTCTTTTTTTATGGGGTAAGGATCCTTTTATTAGATTTCACAAAGGGTCATAAAGTGTAGGTTAAGGACCATTACTATAGAACTTAGAGCATGATAGTAGTATTTATATGTGGTAATATCTGTATATACCTCATTATTCTTCATTACTCAAAAAACCTGGATTACATAGTAAACCTGGATGTAAGTGGAGTCTTTTGGTTTATTCTACATTTGGTAGGATCGAGAGGAGTGATGATAGGCCAGACGTTTAGAATTTCTGTGCTTTAGCTCTATCATTTGTAAAATGAGGATGTTGGTGCTGCCTCATGGTGCTCCTGAGAGGCTAAAACAAGATAACTGTCTGTGAACATTTGTTACAAACTGTGAAGAGTTGTGCATATTTAAGGAATTTCAAATGTACAAGTTTGGATTTGTGCATACTTCTTTGGACAGTGAAAGGAATTTGATTGAAAATGGAACTCACATTCTTATTTTGAAAACCAATCCTGACAGATCTTAGATAATTTTTATTGTGCTTTGATGCAGTACAGAAAGACCCACCACTTTTTTTTTGCAGCACTGGAGATTGAAGCTAGGCCTTGCACATGTTAAGCAAGTACTCTACCACTGAGCCATACCCTCAGCCCTCCCACTACAATTTTTGATAACTAGTTGATGCTTACTTAAGCTGGGGACAGTGTTTTTTGTTAACCAAATTCATTAACAGAGGCTGTCTCTTCCGTTTTTTATCTGTAAAACATTGTCATCCTCTCACACAAATAAGACCTGTTTCAGCTTCTGTAGGGGGTGCCTATGGCAAGATGAAATATATTTATATAGATCTAATTCTGGAAAGTATCACTGATTATCATATCTTGTTCTCTTTCTGGCATATGTAGTTGTCTGATAATAGAAGCAACTGGAATACGTGTTGTTTCTTTTATTTTTCCTGGTCCTTAGCATCTATCTAGTTAGTGAAAGAACTGTTTTATGAATTAACTTTTGCACGGGGAAATGGGGATTGATCCAGTTGGACTGCAGGAAAGATTGAGAACATATACTACTGATTTAAAA